ATCACTATCTTTAAGGAAGACACTGCACAAAACCTCCAAGCACTCTATACAAGAGACCGAAGGACTAACCACTGAGTGGCTAGGAGCTAAGACTGCCCCATCCAACACAGTGAACTGGAGGAACATTTCAGAGCTCAGCACCTGGAGCAAGCCCTCCTCGTCCCAATTCTCAGGCTGCTCGCTAGTTCCTAGAACCTTTGGCTACAGCCCCAGAAGGGGCTTATACGGTTTATTCTCACTTAAGCGAAGAGGATCTGTATGCTCAACTGCTAAAGGGCAACCCTAGGTCTGCAACAGGGCCGGTTGGGATACGTTTCTTTATGTACAAGCAGTTTGAAGAGGTACTTGTTCCAGCTATGACTGCGATTTGCAGTGCGTGCTCCCAACATCAAAGAGTGCCAGCGAGGTGGAAAGACAGCGAGACAATGTTGATTCCAAAAGGAGGAGACCATAATGGTGCGAAGAATTGGCGAGTCAGCAATATGCAGGACTGCACCTACAAACTCTATATGCAGTACTGTGGATGAGCAAGATCAACAACTGGGCATTCAAGGAAGGCAGGAATCGCCTCCACGTGGCAGAAGGGTTTCGTGCCACTGAAGGGTTACCATGAGCATCTGTTCCTTGCCCAGAATATTCTCCACTCAACAAGCAGATGAAAGGAGGCATTGTACATGACGTACAACGAATTTAAAAGAGCATTTGCGTATACCTCTCATTAGCTAATTCACGTTGTCTTGAAGGCTCAACCGATTTTGAAGCATGCTCGTGAGGTCATCACTGTTCACTACAATGGATAGGGCTTCGGCATCTCAACGCAGGATGGCTACAGTAAACGAATATAGAACAGGAGGGGAGTCAGGCAAAGCCGCCTTTGAAGGTGGACAAGAGCAGCGAGCATCTGGTCCAACTAAAGCTGCAAAGAAATTCTTGCCCGTGGTGAAGATGGGAGAGGCGTACAAGCACCTGGGGGTCAATGATGCACTAGAGACTACAGTGCAACAGAGCCAAATCCTTCACGTCATTTTCAAGACGAAGAAGGATATCCTTAAGCGCCTCACATCATAGCCACTCCCCTGGGAAAAGCTGGATGCGATGAGCACTTTTGTGATGTCTCGGCTGAACTATCAGCTCAGGCACTGCTACCCTTCCAAGCATCACTTGATGGCGTTCGATCGTCATCTGTGTGACGTTCAGGAAAGGGCACGACAACCGACGCGTCCCATCAACCCATTTCGAATGGACGGATGGGCTGTACATACAGCGAGAGAAGTCTCCATGATGAAAGCCTTTAAAGCCTTTTCTTTACATGATTCAAACTAGCAGGTATAAGTGCCTTCATTAGTGACGGTTTTCTTTCGTCTTTCCACTTTTTCTGCATAGGTTCGAGGGCTAGGCGACGGCCTTGGGCAGCCTCGCAGGCAGTGGAGTGCAAGACGTCCGTAAGTTTGTTTACTAATGAGAATTTTATTCTTTGTGAGAGTGTAATATCATGTATCTCAATAGGATGCCTTTCCCTGTATGTGTCTGCATGCATTGGTACTGGCACTCTCGTCATTTAAAGTGCAGTTTCCCACTTCTTAGCGTTAAGCTGCCGTTCATGCTGTCCTAGCCTTTCTGTGAGTGTGCTATACAGAGGAAGCGGCGGACGTTCGTCCTCCTCCAGGGAGCGACAGCTACGTCTATTTACTTAATTTCCTGATTAATTTCTCTATATTTATTTTAGTTGTATTATTCTTCGTGTATACTTCACGGTTCTACCGCAGCACTCCCTGCCCAGTTCCGCTTTCTTCTCGTTCTGCTAAGACACCCGATGGAGCATGCAAGCCAAGGCCAACTAAAGCAGCTCTGCTGCAAGCTTTGCCCGGTGGCTGCTTGACGCTGCTGCTGCAGTATAACAGCATCACCACGCCTCTTCCCACCCTCTTGCACAAAAGAGTGCAGACCTGTGGATGCGAGAGGAGGCAGTACAACTTCTTGACGCAGCTTATAATCTCGGAATACAGCAACCAAGCGGCTTCTGTTCAGGCTTACTTGAGCTTCATTCGCTGCATCTGCCGTTTGTGTCTCCAGAGGGCTCCTACGCATGCCCTGTTGCTCCAGCTGCTGTCCCTTGCTCCTAGCTCCTATTCTCCAGTTGCTTTTTCTTCTCCACCCGTAGATGCACCAATGAACATCACGCAGTCTCCATAAATATGCGAAAGTTGTTAGACGACAATTGATATTAAGCACGCAGCCCGGTGCATGCATGCACGCAAACACATGCAGAAGAGGAGCAGTCAAGGTAGACAGCCCCTACTCTTATGTACTTTTAGTACTAGAAGAAATATAAATAGGTGAGCTTTGCAGCTTGGTTTCCTTTCCCTTCTGCTTTCTAATGGCAGCAGTGCGCATGCGACAAGATAAACAGTCCGAGCCTTCTGGGGTTGAAAGGGAAGGTGCTGCTGCTGCTGCTGCTGTTTCACCACTACAGCTTCTAAAGCAGTCATATGAACATAACGAAGCAGCAGCAGCGGTCGCCGAGAACTGGTGGCGAAAAACAGAAGAGATAGCTGTTGATGCCGCTGCAACAGCTGCAGCAGCCGACGCCGCTGCAGCTGCTGTTGCAGCGGCAGGAGCAGCAGCAGCAGCAGGTTCAGGCGACCCATGAGAAGTGATCAGCTAGAGTGAAGAAGAGACTGCGTTGCTGCGTATGCGCGTCTTTGCTGCCCCACACGAATTCCATTTGCAGCCAAAGTCGGTGTCGCACTTCGCACCCCAAAGCCGCGAGATATTCAACCCGACGAAACGCAGCGCACCCGCTGTGACGCTCCACTGTATTCTTCAAACCCTGGAGCAGCTGAGATACAGCGGCAACAGCGGCAGCAGAAGCATCAACAGAAGCAGCAACAGCAGCAGCAACACAAGCAGCAGCAGGAAAAACAGTACAAGCAGAAATAACTCGATATGCAGAGGAAGCAGAAGCAACAGAAGCAGCAGCCAACAGAAGCAGCAGCACCATTGACAGCTGCTGAGGGGGTTGATGGGTTGTGTGTTGCATATACACCAGGCGGAGAGAGTCCAACGTCTGCTGAAAAGCTCCATTTTTGTTTTGTGCCTATAAGTATTCCTTTTAGAGGTGAGAAAACGCATGCAGGAGTTGCAGTATGTTTGCTTCTCTCTGCATGCGCCATATATCAGAGGCTTCAGTAGTACAAGGCACAAAAAAAATAATTGAAAAATAAGTGAAAGAAAGAAAAAGACGACATTAGTGCACAAAGAGCAAAGACAACGAAACTGGAAAGGAGCATAATGACACATAAATTAATGAGAGAGGGGAAAAACACGAAAGAGCAGTACCAGCGGCACTACAAAGAACAGCTGCATCAGTACAAGCAGCAGCAGCAGCATCAGCAGCAGCGCAACGTCGTCCAGCAGCTCTGAGCCCCACAAAGACTGACTGTAAAAAGGAGTTGTGCTGCTAAGTCTTCGTCGCATACACCAGAAGGGAGGCCCCAGGAGACTTCATCAGGCACTGCAGAAGCCCGCCTGCGGTACTCCGCCACAAATTCCCCCAAATTTATTTCGCTTATGTTCACGCGACCCCCACCGTCATTATGCCTAAACGCAAACAGCAACAGCCGTAGCAGCAGCGCAAACAGCAGAACCAGGAGGAGCAGCAGCAGCAACAGGTGCATATGCGTATATATATATATATATATATGCATACGGACAGAGAGAGTATATTAATAAGCGTGTACAACAAGAAGCCATTATTAAGAGCTATAAGAGCGAGTATCTAATAAAAAGAATATACGATAAGAAGAAAGGCAGCACTGTACACAGCACTATACAGACGCAACGTGCGCACAAAAAAAGGAAGGTGGAAATATTTATTAATACAGGTACATGCATATAGAAAAGAGTTATATTTGTCTATAAATACATATGAAAAACAAGACAAAAAAAAGACGCAAAGAAACAGAAAGAGAGGAAAATAACAATTCATTGTATTAAGGTAAACATAAGCATATATATTCATTTATAAATATATAAAAAGAACCAAACAGACGAAAGGCGCAAGGAAGAAAAAGCGGAAGCAAACATTGTATTAACGCAGAGATATGCATATAAAAAAGGAATTATATTAATTTAAGACTATATAATTTTTATCTCACATATCTGCGTGCGTCGTATGCCTCGTTGGTGATGCTGTATTACAATAGGCGATTGAAGAAGGAGGAAGCCTATCCAGTGTAATAAAAATAGAAGAACAGAAATCAAGCGGAAGCTGAGGGAAACATTCTCCTTTGCTTTCCTTAAAGCTGCTGCTGCTCCTGCTGCTCCTCCTCCTGTTGCTGCTGCATGCAAACGATCTGCTGGTCTTAGGCGACACGCAGCTAAGAAGAAGAAACGCATGCAATTGAACCCTTCCATAACAAACAAACAAACAAGCAAACAAGCAAACAAATAAATAAATTATCAATGAACCAATCAATCAATCAAACAAACACCACCAACACACAAGCAAACAGGTAAACCAACAAATGAAAAAAACAAATAAATAGACGAGCAAATAAATAAATAAATAAACGAGCAAGCAAACAAACAAACGCAGTAATGGCAACAAACGAAGATGCATGAGTTCCAGGAAGAGAAAAGAAGCATCAAACGTGTACACACAAGCAGCAACAAATATATACCCTCATAGGTTCTAATAGCAAAGAGGCAAACAACCACAAGCATAATAAAGCCAATAACAAACAACAACAGCAGCAGAAGAAAACAGCAGCAACAACAAACCCAGAAATACAGGCAGCAGCAACAGAGGAAGCAATACCAGCAGCGCTAGAAGCAGCAACAGTTGCAGTAGAAACAGCAGCAGCAGCAACTGAGGCAGCAGCAGCAGCAACTGAGGCAGCAGCAGCAGGAACAGCCACAGCAGCAGCCGCAGGGGCCACAGTAGCAGGGCCAAGAGAACCATGATCAACAGCAGCAGCAACAGCAGCAGCAACAGCAACACAGCAACAGCATCAACAGCAACAGGAGCAGCAGCACAAGATATGGTTGTACAGTATTCTATATCCGAGAAAGCCCTTTCCGTTTGAAAAGGAAGAGAGGCTAGGGTTTTTGCAAAGAAAGCAGCAACTGCTTCTCTCGCTAGACTGCAGGTGAGGCCAAGCTGCAGCAACTCGCGGGCCTGCAGCTGCTGGAGGACAAACTGCAGCAAATTCGAGTGTATATACGCCCCATCGCTCTTTTGCAGCAAAACCGTCAACAGAGGACATTCCAAAGGAGGAATGGGCGACCCTGAAAACACAAACACTCCTGGTGCTGCTGCTGCCGCTGCTGCTGCTGCAGGTGAGCCCGATGTGTGTCATCTCTCCAACTGGTGGTGATATGTCTTTGTGTTCTAGTATCTCTTTCCTTTTGTCTGTCTCTCTCTTGCTCTGTCTACCCTTCTCTTTCTCCTCGTCTATTTCTCTCTGTTTCCTCGTTCGCTCTTTGTCTCCCTCTACCTAGCTCTATTGTCTCTCTTTCGGTGTCTCTTTTTCCCTCTGTATCTGTCTCCTCCTTTCTCTTTTTTCTTTCTTTGTCTCTTCTCGTCTTCCTTTATTCCTCTGTCTCTTTCTCTGTCTCGTCTTTCTCTGTCTGCTTCTCTCTTTCTCTGTTTCCTTCTCTCTCTCTCTGTCTATTTCTCTCTTTCTTTCTCTATTTCTCTCTCCCTCTCTTTGTTTCTGTCCCCTTCTCCCTTTCTCTCTTCCTCTTATTTTTCCTTCTGTCGCCTTTTTAAATGTTGCAGTGTACGCAAACAAACAAATGAACAAAAACAAATACATCTAAACAAACGAACAAATAAAAAACAAAAAATAGGTAAATGAATAAATAAATGACAAAAACATAAACGAATACAACTAACCAAGCAAAAAAACACAAAAAAACAAATATACATCAAAACAAGCCAGAAAACAAACGAAGACAATAAGACAAAAACACAAGCAAGCGCTTAAACAAAAACAGGCAAACAAACAAGCACATAAACAAAAGGGGAAAGGCAGACAAACAAATAGATAAACAAAAGGAAAAAGACACACAAACAAATACTACAAAACAAATGCACAAACAAACAAACAAACAAACAAGTATACTAAACAAACAAATAAAGTAACAAATGACATAAAGAAAGAAGGAAACAAACAAACAAGCAAAACAAAACAAACACAAAGACGAACTGACTCTGTTTGTTTGCCTTTTCATACTCTTTAGTGTGCCTAATTTTTAATTATAAAATTATTTAATTATTTAATTATTTATTGAAATCTTTATATCAGCGCACTTAGAGCGCCTCTAGCAGCGCCGACGATAAGGAAAGAAGGGAAGAGCTTGAGGTGTCTGTACACCTCAGCAGCAAACAGCCGCAGCTGCAGCAGCCCCGGTTCTACGGGTTTTGCTGGTGTCTTTGCTGCTGCTGCTGCCGCCGCTGCTCGCGAAAGAAATCCAGGGACGCTTCGCTGTAAGAATGTAGGGGTTGTTGCCTTCTTTGCTGCTGTTGCTGCTGTTCCTAATCGCCCTCCTCTTCCTGCTGCAGTCTTCTTCGCTGCTGCTGCCTCATGCTGCTGCTGCTCCTGCCGCCGTTTTTGCGCTGCTGCTGCTTGTATCTCCTGCTGCTTCCGGGCAGTCAGCAGCAGCAGAGCCAAATAGCGGCAACTAGAAATCAACAGAGGCAGCAGCAGCTGCAAACGCTCCATGTCTGCAGCAGCAGCAACATCAGCAGCAGCAACAGGAGCAGACGCAGCAGTCATGCGACATACCGCCGCAGCAGTCATGAGATATACCGTCGCAGCAAGCTGATCGACAACAGCAGCAAAACACCAGCAACAAAGTCTCTCCTAAGAAGCAGCGAAGCTGCGCAGCAGCAAAAGCAGCAGCAAACGCAGCACCAACAGCAGCAGCACAAAACGCCACAACATCAAAATAACAATTGCAGAGGCAGCAACAGAAGTAGTAGCCGTGGAGCAACAAAAGCAGAAGCAGCAAAAATACTACCAGCAAAAGCAGCAACAGAGGCAACAGCAGCAGCAACACCAGTAGCAGCAGTTGCAGTAGCAGCATCAGCAGCAAAGAAAGGGTACCTAATGCGTCCTGCAGGATGAGAAGTGTTTTTTTGGAGTCTCTTAAATTCTTTTTGTTGATCTTTTCCTTCAATTCCCTCGGCACACCGCCGCATAGAGAACGCAAGAAGCCCAAAGATGATAAATCGTGCGGCTGCTGTTGCTGTTGCTGTTCTTGCTGCTGTTGCTGCTGTTTCTGTTTCGCTTCCTCCCCTGCCTGTTGTTCCTGCTCCTGCTGTTGCTGCTGCTCTCCCTTTGGCTGAACCTGTTGCTTCCCCGCCTGCTGCTGCTGCTGCTGCTGTTGCTGATGCTGCTGTTGCTGTTGCTGTTGCTGTTGCTGCTGCTGTTGCTGCTGCTGCTGCTGCTGCTGTTGCTGCTGCTGCTGCTGCTGCTGCTGCTGCTGTTTCAGTTTGTTCGTCTCTGCATCGATTAAGTCTTTTCCCAGGGCCTTATCAAATTCTGCTGGCTGTGCAGTTCGCCACTCCTGTATCACCTCCGCCGCAGCGCGACTGCACTCTGCGCACAAACTCTAAACCCTAAACCCCAAACCCTAAACCCTAAACCCTAAACCCTACATCCTGAACCTTGAACCGCTACGTTCAATGGGTATTTCTGGCGTAGATACAGCGCAAAGCTATCTAGAATGCAGATTCCCTGAAATGCCCCTTGAGGGTTTAGGGTTTAGGGTTTAGGGTCTGCACGCCTGCATAGATATCTGCTGCTTCCTGCCATCCCTTCGCATCCGATATCTTAGGCAGAGCATTCATCGCCATCTTCACAACGCTTTCTGAACTCAGCGGCTCCTCCTCAGCCTTAGGGGCCCCTGGGGCCCCCCCAGAGGGTTGGGGGGCCCCAGGGGCCTCCCCAGAGGGTTTGGGGCCCCCCACGGGGCCCCCAGAGGGTTTGGGAGCCCCAGAGGCGTCCTTTGTGGGGGGGCCCCCTGAAGCGCTGGAAGAACTCTTTAGTGCAGTGCGCGCTTCTGAGGGCTTGGCAGCAGCAGCGGCAGCACCAGCAGCAGGAGCAGCAGCACCACCAGCACGAGCAGCAGAGCCAGCAGCAAGAAAACGCCGGCGTTCTTGGTGCCACCGCTCTCCCAGAAAAATGCGCAGGGATACAAAGGCAGCTTCAGCAGCTAAAAGCAAGTCACACACACCCTAAACCCTAAACCATAAACCCTTTGAAGACCGCCACTATATTATATATATATATATATATATATATATATATAAGGGCGCTCTGTTGGCTGGGACGCTAGCTCGGCTCCAGCAATTTAAAACTTTAAACTGTAAACCCTAAACACTGACAACCCTAAACCTAAACCCTCAACGAAAACCCTAAACCCTGTACCCTAAACCCTAATCCCTAACCGGGGAGTTTCTTCAGGGCTGTTGCGAGAGCTGCATCCGGTATATCAGGGTTTTGTTGTTTTATTTTAGCTATAGTTTCTGCCTTCTTAGCAGCAGCAGCACCAAGAGCAGCAGCAAAGTCTTCCGGGTTTGCAGCAGCGAAATCTGCAATGGCGTCTGCTGCTGCTGCTGCTTCTTCAGTACCAGCAGCTGCTGCTTTAGAACCAACGCCCCCCCCTGGCCTGTCTTTGGGGGGCCCCCCAGTGGGGCCCCCCTTTGCGTCTTGCTGCTCTGCTGCTGCCTTTGTAGGAGCAGCGCCTGTCTTATCTGCTGCCAGCAGCTCGGCGAGCGTCTTCCTAGGTGCTGGCTTTCCTGCTGGTGCTGCTGCTGGTTTTGCTGCTGGTTTTGTCGCTAGTTTTGCTGCTGGCTTTGTTTCTGCTGCTGGTGGTTTTGCTGCAGAAGCTGCCGCTCCTGGTTTTGCTGCTGCAGTCTTCGGCACCAATTTAGGGGTCTCTTTAGGGGTCTCCTTCTTCGCGGCCGGGGCCCCTGGGGCTCCTGGGGCCCCTGGGGCCCCCGGGGGTGCTTTGGGTTTGATAGTGAGGAGGGCAGGGGGGACCTTTGGGGGTGGAGGGGCCCCCAGGGCCCCCTTTGCTGCTGGTGAGTCTTTAGGGATCCCTGTTGCTGCTGATGCTGTTGGTGCCCCTTTTGCTGCTGCCCCGGGGATCTCCTGCTTTGCTGCTGCTGCACCTGCTGCTGCTGGCTTTGCTGCTGCACCTACTGGTGCTGCTGGCTTTGCTGCTGCACCTACTGGTGCTACTGGTTTTGCCGCTGCACCTACTGCTGCTGCTGGCTTTGCCGCTGCACCTACTGCTGCTGCTGGTTTTGCCGCTGCACCTGCTGCTGTTGCTGGCTTTGCCGCTGCACCTGCTGCTGCTGCTGGTTTTGCCGCTGCACCTTCTGCTGCTGCTGGTTTTGCTGCTGCACCTTCTGCTGCTGCTGGCTTTGGTGCTGCACCTGTTTCTGCTGCTGGTTTTGCTGGTGCACCTGCTGCTGCTGCTGGTTTTGCTGCTGCAGCATCCAGCGCAGCAACGGGTTTTTTAACTTGGGAGACAAATTTCGTTTTTAGTTTGGGGGCTACAAAGGGCTTCCCTTGCTGCTGCTTCTGCTGCTGCAGCAGCCTTTCTCGCAGCTGTTGCTGCTGCAGCTGTCTTTCTTTCAATGTTAGAGGTTTCTTCCCTTTAGCACCACCTGCTGCTTGCTTTGGCGCTGGCTTTGCTGCTGCCCCTGCTGCTGCTGTTGCAGGCTTCGCTGGTGGCGCAGCTGCCGGAGTGGGGGGCCCAGCAATTGCCCGCCGCAGCAGAGACGCCATCCTGATGCAGATGCAAGCATTCGCGCTATTGCTGCTGTTGCTGCTATTGCTGCTTCTGCTGCTACTCCTGCTTTTGCTGAGCTGCTGCTGTGGTCGATGCTGCTGCTACTATTGCTGTTGCTGCTGCTACTGCTAATCTTGTTGAGGCTGCTGCTGTTGCTGCTGCTGCTGCCTCTGCTGCGGACTGGCTGCAGCTGTAGCGCGCACTACACAACCTTCTGCTGCAGCTTGTGGCTTTACTGCTCTTTGGCTTGCGCAGCAGCAGCAGCAGGAGAGAACGGCAACGCACCAGGAGGGAGTGCAGCAGCAGCAGCAGCGAGGGCCCGAGAGTACTGCTGTCCTCGGTTTCTGCAGCAGCAGCCGCAGCTTTTGCTGCTGGGTCTGCTGCTGCCTCCCCTAAAATTGTTCTTTCTGCTTCCGTTGCTGCTGTTGCTTCTGCTGCTGTTGCCGCTGCTGCTCCTGCGACTCAGTGAGGAGGAGGCCGCTGCCGACAAGGACCACTGCTGGCTGCTGCAGCAGCACCAGCTGCCGATGTCTGCGCAGCAGTTGCAGCTGCAGCTGCTGCTGCAGGCCATAAAATAAATATAAATAAGAAGGGCGACAAAAGAATTCAAATTTACTGCTACAGCATGCAGTAACTGCAGCAGCAGCAGCCGCAGCAGCAGGACTGCTGCTGCTGCAGCGGTCTCGGCAGCAGGTGTGGGGCCCGTGCTCGGGCCGCAGCAGCAGCAGCAGCAGCAGCAGCAGCACCAGCAGCAGAAGCGGCTGCAGCAGCAGCCCCCGAAGCAGGAGCAGCTGCGAAGATGCGGTGGTCTTCAAGTTGATAATCAGAGGGCTGCGAACATATTTGTTTTGTTCTGTTGGTGTTTATTTGCAGAAGAAGCACTTGAGGTGTGCTGCAGCCGCGCGTACACCCGAGGGGTGTATTGGCACCACCCCATGTAGGTTGCCTCTTGAGTCGTTCTCCCTCCTTTTTGTTGGTTTTCTTTTCTGTGGAGGAATTTGTCGTTAATTTAAACAAATGGAGGAACCTGAGACAGGCAGGGGGCCCCCAGCCCGCCCTGCAGGCGAGCGGCAGCAGCAGCAGCCGCAGCAGCAGCAGCAGCGGCAGGGGAGGCGCCAGGACGCGAGCGCGTTGATGCCTTTGATGGTGTTGGGCGTCCTTGTTGTCCTTCCATCTCTTCTCTCTCTTTTGAGCAACCTGAGCACCTCCAGCAGCAGCAGCAGCAGCAGCAGCAGCAGCAGCAGGGAAGGGGGGGGCTTGAAGTGGCTGCTCGAGGCGCACAATCCTTTGCCGGCAGTAGTAACACCGAATCAGGTGACAGTACAGTACTGCCCATCATGAGGTTCGGCTGCTGCTCTGCAGCAGCTAACTGCCTTCCTTCAGCAGCAAATGGATGCTGCTGAGGGTCTTCGGGTGGTGCCGCAGCAATACGAGCCAGCGCCTTTGCTGCAGTTGTTAGGTTCAGCTATAGGTGTGTTGAGGTGGTGTCTGCTTCTTGTTGTGCTGCTGCCTGGTAGGCTGCTGCCTCTGCTGCTGCCGCAGCAGCGTGCGTCTGCTGTTGCTGCAGCAGTAGAAGCAAACCGCATGCTGCTGCTGGCATTGGTATTCATAGGGGGTGCAGTGCTGAGCGGTTTGCTGCTGCAGACAGGGGCGTTTGAGATATATTATGAACGAGATCTTATCTGGAGTGCTATAGAGAGACAGCAGCAGGGCATGGCCGCTATGCCTACTGGCGGAGAGCTGCTGCATGCTCTCGAAGCAGCGGGGGCCCCTCTTCTTGGTAGCAGCAGGCGATTTTAAAGACTGTTTTGCATGCACTTCAGCTGTATAGGCACGTCGGCATGCATGCGGCGGTGAACGTACACCCCACCATCAACACCCTCTCCGCCAAACCGTTAACAGATGCTGCAAGCAGCAGCAAATGCTTCAGCGGCATCCTTTTCCTGCTGCTGCTGTTGCAGCTGTAGCTACAGCAGCAGCAGCTGCTGCAGCAGGAGAAGGCGAGGGAGTGGCAGCAGAGCTGAAGCCCTTTAAGGGGGCCCCTGAGGGGCCCTTTGGAAATACAGACAGGCGACGTCTCTGTTGTTGTTTTGCTTTCTTTGTTTGTTCTTTTGCAAACAGTAAAAGAATAAACAAACATGGCGGCGGTGCAGCTGCAGCACGAGTGAGGGGGACCCCCTAAACCCGCACAGGGCGGGGGTCCCCGGAAAAGTTGCTGCTGCTGTTGCTGCTGCCGCTGCTGCGCTGCAGCAGCTGTTTTAATCGGGACTCTTTTGTTCTTAATACGGCTTCAAAGATAAGCGTGAAGCATAGAGGGGAGAGTAACAAATAGAACATATAGCAGCACTGCCATTAGAAACGCTAGCCGCATCAGTAACAACAGCAATAGCAGCAAGAGAGGCAGCGCGAACACCAACAGCAGCAACAGCACTAGCAGCAGCATCAGCAACAGCAATTTTACGGTTCTGAGGGTTCAGCTGCTGTAGGTCCAGCAAGCTACACAGGGTTGGCTGCTCCTCTAGCTAGCTAGCCGTGGCTAGCTGGTGAGTTGAGGTGTACAGCTGGTTTCGGTTTTCTATGTGGCTAGAGCAGCAACAAAGCAACAGAAAACAGCACAAAACGTGAAGGCAGAGAGATTGCTGATGATATTCCCTCTGCATTTATTGTCCCTGGCTGCTGCTGCAGCGGGCGTGCTGCAGCGAAAGTGCGGCAGCACCAGCAACGCCCAGGGGCACTTGAGGCCCCCTCTTAATTCTTTCATGGGGAGGCGAAGAGACTGCAATTAAATACTGAAACAAACCGTATTTAGACATGTTCTCTGCATATATGCTATTATTACGACAGTCTTTAAAATGATGCCGCCTGCTGCTGCACCAGCAGCACCGGCTGCTCTACCTGCTACTGCAGCTGCGGCTGCAGCTGCTGCGGCTGCTGCTGCTGCAGTGTTGGTGTGTAGCTTCTCTCCTGTATAAGAAGAAAATAAAAGCCGAAGCAAAGCGAAGTATTACGTATATATTGAGAAAAATAAATATTTTCAATTCCACTGCCGCTGCCTGTTGCTTATGCACTCCCGCTCGGTTGCATGTAGCAGCGGGGGTTTGTGCGTAGCGAAAGACAAGGTAAAATGGAGATAAAAAAAGTTCAGACAAAGATAAAAATAAAGGAAATCTTATTTAGAATGTAAACAAACAAAAAAATCCAAAATTTGCAGACTTTTATCATTAAAAGCTGCTTCCTTCTCCCTACGAACCTATAGTTCAGAGTGTACGTACACCGCAACGGAGCGATGGTGCCACACATGAGCGCTGCATCCGCTGAAGGAATGCTGGTGAAGGGGGTGCTTCTCAATTCTTCTTCTTAAATTTAAGAAAAGAATCAAAGTAAAGTACAATGTTAGTTATATTTTCATAGAAGAGGTGTGCGCAGGTGCTGTGTGCAGCAGCAACAGCAGCAGCAGCAGCAGCACCAGCAGCAGTGCAGCGGTTTCGATGGTACGGGGGGGCGGTGGGATCCCAAGTGTGTGCCCTGTTCGCGGCTTTACTGTTTGTGCATAAGGGCGTGGGTTTAGGGTTTAGGGTTTATGTTTGCAGTTGAGGGGACGTCTACGTTTGTCTCGTTCTGTGTGCGTATTCTTCTTCCTCGCTGCGGCGTGTTAGCGTTGGTTCTTCGTTCTCTTCCAGGGGAGAGAGCGACTTGCTGCTCCAGCTGCTGCTGCTGCGGCTGAGACGCAGCAGGAGCAGTTGAGAGGCCGCTAAGAAACACAGCGTTTTGTTTTCGTTGGTTGCTGCTTCTTCCTTTCCCTTCCTGCTGAGTAGAGGGCTCACCGTCGGGGTGCAGCTGTACGCATTCTCATCCCTCTCGGGTTTCAGAGGGTCTAGGGGTCTTCTACTGCTGCTGCTCCTGCTGCCCCTGCTGTTCCTGCTGCTCTAGCTGGTTGCTCAGCTTCCTTGCAACCTGCTCGCCCTGCTAATTCTTGAGGCAGCAAAGTCTGTCGGGCGTGCAGCGAGGACCTGCAGCAGCAGCAGCAGGAACAGCAGCAGCCACTGCCGCACGACCTCAGCGGCAGCAGCATCAGCAGCACTGCACTGTCCCCTGTAGTTGAATTTCTGCTGTGCATAATATCTCTTTTGCAGTGTACAGAGGATCTGTTTTCTCTGTTAGCAGAAGCAGCAGCAACAGCAACAACAGGTGCAGGTGCAGGTGCACCAGAAGCAGCAGGAGATGCTGGAGTTAATAGCGAAGTACTGGGGTCTTCCTCTATGGGCTGTATGCCCTGGGGCTGAGCCGCATGTGCGGCGTCGTTATATATCTTTGCAGTCTCCTATTAATTGTTTTCGTTGTTTACATATGCCCCGGGGTGTCGTGGGAGTTCGCCTCTTCTTAGATTTTTTGTTTTTTAAAGAATTAGCCTGTGTTGTATTCTTTGGGGCTCTCTCTGCTGCTCATCTCAGTGTTCTCTGCTACACGCTTCTCAGCAGCAGCAGCAGCAGCAGCAGCCACAGCAGCAGCGACAGCAGCAGCAGCAGCAGCGACAGTAGCAGCAGCAACTCTCCAGTGGAGGGTGTGGTGTATTTTCGCTTGCTGCTGCTGCTGTTCTGTCTCTCTTTCGTGCAGCTTTGCTGCTGCTGCTTCGTCTTAGGGAGAGCGCAGGATTTGAGGTTTGTATGGTTTGAGAGGCCAGTAGAAAGAGAAGCAGCAGCTTTGGTGCTGTCTTTAGGCTGGCAGATAGGGCGGCTTGCTTCTTGCTGCTCGTCGTGTGTTATGTTTGCTGCGCTGCAGCTAACATACAACGACAGCAGCAGCTGCTGCTCCCTCCATACCCCTCTGTTATGCCGCTATATGTCGGTGCTGCTGCTCTGCTTCCTCTCTCTTCTGGGTCCCTGCATCGTTTTCTTTGCTGCTTCTGCTGCTGCATTTGTTTGCTGCTTCTGGATATCTGAAGAGCAGCTTGCTGTTCTCTTTCATACTGAGGCAGCAAACAACTACAGCTTGCCGCTGCAGCTTCTCCGCAAGTTGAAGGAGCAGACGTGGGCTCAGCTGCGGTGTATGTACACCCCAACAACATCAACAACAGAAGCAGCAGCAGGAGCAGATGCTGCTGCTGCTGCTCCTTCTCCTCCGGGTGTCTTCGATGCTGCTGTCTGCTCGATTTGTCTCTGCGACTATCAACCTGCAGATATTATACGCACCCTTCCTTGCGGCCATGTCTTTCATTCCATTTGCATTACGCGTTGGTTTAAAGCGCATGCATCTTGTCCTTTACGCTGCTCTATCGCATTTGCTGCAGACAGGCTGCAACAGCAGCAACAGCAGCAGGCAGCAGCAGCAGCAGCAGAGGAAGCAGAGCCGCTGTCTGCTGTCTACTTGCAAACGGAAGGAGAACAGGGGTCGCCAAGCAGCCGAGTGGGGCTGCTTGTCACCCGCGGGCCTACAGCAGCAGCAGCAGCAGCGTACGACGACGAAGAGAGAGCCGCAGTGTATGCAGATGACTGCGTTGTTCCGTGTCTGGTGCGCAGCTGGAGTCGATAGAAATTGCGGTGTATGATGATCTGCAAGATAAATAATTAAAGCTAAATGAAGCTAACGACGAAGAGAAACGCCTCTTCACCTTCACGGCTGCAGCTAGCTGGCTAGCTCCTCACCTGTAGCTAGCTCTTTAAAAAGAATGGCTAGCTGAATAATATGTATGTCTAGCTTCTCACCTATCGCTATCTGATTAATAAGTATGGCTAGCTGAAGTATGGCTAGCTGATTAATCAGTAAGGCTAGGTGATTTATACGTATGGCTAGCGGACTAATAAGTACGGCTAGCTGTACTATGGCTAGCTGATTAGTGAGTACGGCTAGCTATAGTATGGCTAGCTGGTTAATGAGCTAGCTGATTAATGAGTACAGCTAGCTGTAGAAAATTATGGCTAGCTGGCGAAGTACGGCTAGCTTGTTAGGAAGTATGGCTAGGCGCTGTAAGCGCAAAGCTAGCTGCTGAGTCCCTAGCTAGCCAGTAAGAATGGCTAGCTAGCCGATACTGAAAAGGACAGCTAGCAGGAGGCGCTAACCTCTCTGCTGTTCCTTCCTTGGAGAGGCTGAAGGTGATGCTGCTGTGTTGGCCTTCTGCTGCTTCATGCCGCGCGAGTGCAGCGGCCAAGAAGAAGTATAATCTAAGCAGTGAAAGCGTTGTTTATATTTACTTCTATTCATGCATATATACATGTGTACATATTTATATGCATATATGCTCATTTGTATTCATATATTTTGATATATAAATATATATGTCCTATATATTAATATAAATATAAATATATATAAATATATATAAAGTGAAGTGCAAAGATTCTCTAGAAAACGGAGGATCTGCCCATTTGCTGGCAACTGCAGCAGCCAATGGCGGCGCTGAGGGGTGTTTAGGGTTTAGGGTTTAGGGTTTTGAGGAGGCATTGGGGAGCCCCTTGGTGCTCGCGAAGAGGAGAGGGGAGCCCCCGACCGCACAGCGTTTCGTGTATATAATGAACGCACTGTTGATGAAGAAGAGCAGCAGAAATGTTCTATTTGTCGTCTTTGTTTCTTGCTGCTTCTTGCGGAGCCATTCGGGTGTATGGACAGTGGACGAAGAAAACAGAAAAAGAAACTCCTCTTTATTGCTAAGCCATTTATTTCCTTCTTTTTCCTTGTTGCGTCACTCTAGGACGACTTCCCCTATTCACTCCACTATAAATAGTTGTAATTAGGTATTATAATTAGATTTTATATAATGCGTAGTATATGTTGTAGATAAAAATATATATAGTGCATTTAATATGCATTTTTATTTTATGTACATTGTGTATAGCATTTTACGCGCATTAATTAACCATATTAAGTAATCAAATAATTTGTTTATGTATTAGTTAATTAGAAGCTGTATTCTTATTCAGTTTTCTGCCGGAGCTGCACCTAAAAGCAAAAAAATGTTTCGGGGTTCCTTTGTTTAAAGTTCCTGCGGTTTTCCGCTCTTTCAAACGCTTCCGTTTGACGCATAAATTCAAAATAAATCATGCAAACACAACACCACAAACAAGTCAACGGAGGAATGCTGATATCTTGATTTGTCCTTCATCTGATATTCTTTCCACAAATTAATATATTTTGGTGGCAGCCTTACTTGCATGCATACAGTCAGTCGACAGTTTCGTATGTATAGAGATGAATGCAAAAGAAATTATTACAATAATATAATGTGAGAGGCCTCTGCTTTTGCTCATTGCCAAAGCAGAGGCGACGTGGGCGTAGTTCTCCAAAGAAGGGGGAAGGGAAAAATACAAAAAATAATGAAATGCAGCAACAGGGCGAAGGCGAGAAAATAATGAATAGCAGCCCCCAGATCTTTGTACAGCTGAATGCATGCAGAGAACTGCTGGGGCTGTTTTTTCTCCTTTTTCTAACGCCCTGCAGAGAAGGCATATTCTTTGCCTTCATTAAAATCGATGTAACATTTAAAATGCAGCAAACCAACAGCTGAGCCTCCAACTCGCTGCCCTACTGCTGCTGCTATTAAAGGATGCACGCAGCAGTAATATGCAGCTGCATAGATATGCAGCTTTGTCTTTCTTCGTTTCTCTCTCTTCCTATTTTCTACGTTTCTCTCGCTCTCTCACGAACCAAGCATTATATATATATCAATATACAATCTATGATACTTTCTTTTCTCCTTTTCGTCTGCCTCCCCTCCCCCGTGTTTACAGATTTGCTGCAAAGGCGGAGGCGATTTTGGTGAGACTGCCGGCAAAGCTGAGCCATCCCTGAGTACTTCTTCGTTGAAATGTCGCATACGCAATTCGCCGCCACAACTTCGCCATCTTCGCTGCGTTTGAACTGTTAGGCGCTGCCAGAATCTGCAGCAGCAGCAGCAGAAACAGCAGCAGAAGCAGTAGCGAAAGCGCCGGCAGCAGGTGAGGATATAGTGGGAGTTGAATACAAATAGAAAAACAGAAAAAAATAAGTAGAGAAACAGAAGAGAGAGAAATAGAGGTAAACACCATAACCACTGGCTCCCTCCTGCACTGCTACTTTTGATTACACCAAGCGATGCTACTCCTAAGTGCATGCATGCATGAATGTATTCATGCATGCATGCAGATGAACGTATACATGCATGCATGCCTACAGATGAATGTATACATACACTGGTGCATGCAGGGGCTAGAAACCTATACAAATATATATATATATATATATATGTATATATTCGTTACCATGTGGGTAAAGTTGAGGGAAGGGGCGCGGATGACGGATTTGATGGGCCTTTTAAGGCCAAAGCAATTTCCAATCTGAAGAAAAGGCGCATACACCGCAAAATAAATTATGCCGTCGAAATAAATAACAAAAGAGATTTCAAAGAATAACGAAGATGCCTGCAATGTGGAGGAGACAGAGAGGGACAAATAAAGCAAGAGAGAAAGACAGGAAAAGAGAGGAGATAGATAGAAAAAGTAGGTACAGATAAGTAGGTAGGTAGGTAGATAGATATAGACAGATAGATAGATAGATAAAGACAGACAGATAGACAGAGACAGATACTGAGAAAGACAGAGAGACAAAGACAGAGAGTCAGAAGGGGAGGCACATAGAAAGACAGACATAAAGAGAGGGATATCTTATTAAGCAAACATACGAAGCCTATGCCGGAGTTCAACTCGTAAATTGTAGAGCCGGGGCATCCGCCCCAAACCAAACTGGGGAAAGCAATGCTGAGCTTTGTGTCGGTGTTTACTTGAACAGCACCATACTTCAGGTTCGCTATTGCCTCTTCAAGCACCTAATTCATTACGTACAACAGCAAGAGGAGACAGTTCTCATCTACAACGCCTGTCATGTAGATATACAGATCTATAGCCGTCAATCAAAGAGCGCATGCAGGCAAAGAGGGACTCGGAAAAGCTTCACACAGCGAGAACACAAAAAGTATATAATGTATATATATATCATGCATTTCAATAAGCAGGGATATTGCTAGCATGCACGAACACATGCACACACACACACATACGCACACACAAACAAGTGAAGAAGCCTGCAGAAACGGATCGACCTTCGCAGTTGCAAGTTACTCCCCCTTGAAAACATATATGCAAGCGTGCATACCTGCAGGCATGCAGGCAGTAATGCTGCATTATAGGCATACTCACGCAATGATGCGTATCACTTCATGAGGATGTGTATAGTGCAGCAGAAACCCACTCCATGCAATCAACAGAGAAAACATAGGCCCGTTCTATATGATTAATTTGAATGCCGCTACGAATTGCAAGAACAGCGAAGACCGGCAACAGAGCGGTGAGAGAAATCAAATAAACAAAAGAACGGAAATGGTTGCTAAATGAAGCTGAAGAGATAACAATATTTACCTTCTCCTCTGCAGACGAAGCGGGTTTCACAGAAATGCTGACAGAAAGACCGCCGTGCACTTTGTCGTTCGTATATTGAACAGCAAGTGGAAGAAACGCCTCAACAGAACTTTCGGTGTCTAGAGCGACCTCTCCGCAACACGGAGAAAATGCTTCCTAACAAGAAATAAACAAACATAATAAAACAAATAAAAGAGAAACAATTCATCGCAAACGCATTTAATAATTGCCACCGTTGTCAGCCAGCTCATCATTCAAGTTCCTGCAATGAGTTCGTTTCGGGTGTATACGCAGCTCACGAAACTTCGTGGAAAGTGCACATAAAAAGCGAACCTGGCGGCAAAAGAAAGAATCTTCCGGCAAATCGGTCGCAAATATTATTTTCCTCTTATCGCTGTCTTTCGAAAGGGGGCACTTGACAGACACCTCAAAGTCTTCTTCTTTTCTTCCCATATCAATCAGCTGCCGCTTGCACGACCTTCAACGCAAACAGCACAAACCCTAGGCTTTAACCCCTAAGTAAATTCTTGAATTACTCCCTTCTCCAGACTCCCCCTTTCGTCTCAGGCTTCGCTCAGTGCGTTTTCTTTGGAGATGCAGAAAGCAAGAAAAATACGAACAATCGACCGCATTTCCAACTTAGATCTGTTGGATACGGAAAGCAAACAAAAAGGGTGTTCATTAGAACAACTGAATAAGATAGCAGGACACTGTAACAAGCAAGAAGAAGCAGCTGGTGTTGTTGCATGCAAGCAGCAGCCTGCATCGAACTGCAGCTTAAAACCAAAGCTGATGAACCCCTGTTCTCCCTCTGTTGCTTTCTCCCTACTCACGCCATTCGATCAGAGAAGTCTGGGTAGTAGCAACCGACGTAGTAGATGTCTTGAATGTACGTTCGAATCAGCTGGAGAAACTCCTCTCTGTATAGGCAGCGGCAGATCAACACCCACAGCCCCTAACGATATCCATATAACAATTGCAGCACGAAAAAAGAAATAAAAAGGAAGAACTCCCTAAGTGTCGATCATAAAGCGCACATTATTTCGACTTACCGCAGGCACCTCAGGTGCATTTTTCACTGTTTCCATTGCATGTGTGAAATGCACTCAGTCAAGGGGAAAGAAGAAGAAAAGAAGAACAAAAAACCAAAAAAAAGAACAAGCAGAAGAAAAGGAAAAATAAAAAGAAGAAAAAGACAGAAAAAGAAGAAAAAGAACAAGGCACGCATTCCACTGCTTACCTTTGAGGCCAGTTCTTGCAGGTAACGAGGAGTTGAGGATGTACACAGATGTGAGCGCCATTGAATGTCATAGCAGCAGCAATTGCCTTCGAGAAAAGAAAAAGACAGACAAAGAAGAGAAAAGAAGTTCTTTTTCTCTTTTCTAACGAGTCGAACACAACACCATGCATACAGACAGCTCACCTAAGGGAATAGATAAACAAACAAATCATAAAGCACAATACACTCCACATGATAAACAACACCTCCAAGGCACACAGCCTGCGGATGCAGACGACAGACACCTGCTGCTGCTGTCGCTGTCGAAATTGCAGCAGCTGCAGCAGCTCGTCTTTTGAGTCCCGTGACGACTGTCTGTACACTGCACACTGACTACGCAAAAATGCAATGCAACTCTTGACTGGCTCTCGAGGACCTATATATATATATATATATATATATATATATATATGCACACACATATAACCATATATTCAAA